AGGCTGTAGTGTCCAAAGGGAAGGAGCAAGCTGCACCACTGAGGTGGAGGAGGCAGGCATAGAACAGCATATGGACAGACTTCCACGGCAGTGCAGGAGTAGTCCATCCCACCCAGAAGATTAGGAAGCAGCTCCATTGTCCATCACTCCAAGCATCCACCCTTTACAGTTCTGGTGTGGGGTGGTCATTCATGTGTCTTCACCTCCCTGACACAGACAACAAATCACATTTTTGTGATTTATCATACTTTGGATTCTGGGGCCTTTATGGAGTTTCCTGCCAGTTTCTCCTTCTCTAGGTCTACTGGTGTTGGTGCTGTCTTGCTGTCTTCCCTCTCCTGCCGCCTGAGAATCACATACACAGCCACAAAGCACAGGAAAGCACCCACCTCGAAGAAAAACTGTAGACCAAGATACCTGTGGTGTGGAGACACAATAAATCAGGGTAGAAAGGGTATTCCTATGTGCACCAAGCACCAACATACCCAGGAACCCAGCAGACACTGAACATGGGGATAGGCTCCTTGGGTACATTCAACAGTGGGTGAGCAACATGTCTTGGGCTTGAGGGCGAACCAGGAGTTGCTGTAGCCACTGGTCAGTGAGTCATTCAACAGAAATGAGTTTGCAATGGTGATAGAAGACCACCCACAGTTCCCTTTCAGCCTCCCCATAGTGCACAGGCTGGATTTGGTGTCTTGTGTGTGGTGAGTTGGGCTATTCTATCGGAAGATGAACCCCAAGGTTCATCTAGGGCTCCAACATCTGATGTCCCCAGGCACACTGCAACAGCAGCTCACAGGCAGGTTTGGGGCTAAGGTCACCCCCACTGCTGCATTACCTTCATGGAGAAGACACCAGGACAGGCTGCTTGTGTCTATGCAGGTGTAATGAGTTATCATAGCATCATACAATGACTCAGGTTGGAAAAGACCTCAAAAACTCATCTGGTCCAAACCTTCATGGCATTGTCCACCTGTATCTTGGAAACTTCCCATGATGAGGACCCTACCATATCCCTTGGGAGGTTGTTCTGGTGAAATTGCTTTTGCTGTAATGCAGGGAGTTCTCCTGGAAGTGAACCTCTATGGTCTATAGCAGCAAGTTTGCATGGTCCTTGGCAGGGTTTGGGCTTGTGCCAGTGACTTTCCAAACCATTCTTGGGCACTGTTGGGGATTAGCATGGGCCAGGGTGAATGTCACCCACAGTGAGTGTCCCTGCTTTTTCACCATGGTTTATACAACAACTTATCCCACGTCAGAGGTGGCCTGATGCCATGTTTCCCCAGATGTCCCTCTGCACCCTCAGCCCTTCTCCTGACCTACCTTTGCCTGAAGAGTGTGTTGTCATAGTATCTGCAGGCTGCCTTCCTGTCACACCTCTTCTCCCACAGGATGCAGGTGGTGTCGATGGCGCTGCCATACAGAACAGGCCCTGGCATCCACGCTGGAAGCAGAGGGTCAGAGAGGTCTTTGTTATATTATGGGAATTTCTCTGCTGGGACAGACCCAAGCCTGGTCACTTCCTCATGTGCTAAGGGGGTGGAAAGTGGTTGGGGATGGTCTTTGCTGTGGCGTGTGAAGCCACTGGTCCTGCACAACATGCCAAGGGCTGGTTGTGTGTTTGTACCTGAGATGCAAGATAGTCCTTCTTTTTCATTGCTCATCCCAGGAATAACAGAATCACAGAATCATCAAGGTTAGATGACCTTTAAGATCAACTAATCCAACCATCAATGCAGCACTACTGTAATCACCCCTAAACCATGTCCCTAAGTGCCACATCCAGGCACCTCTTGAACACCTCCAGAGACAATGACTCCACCACCTCCCTGGGCAACTAATTCCAATGCTCACCTGCTTCATACACTGAGTATGTATGCTCCTTTCTACAACTGCAGTGGCATGTTATGGGGGCCTTATGAAAACATGAGTTTTCACCACTGGAAAAATAACTAGTGGGACCACAGGACATGGTTTGCAGCCACCCTGATGTGCTGGAGGCAAACATGGCAGTATCTGCCCACAGCCAAGGGCTGATCTCAAGGGCCTAAAGTTATTCCCAGCCCTCTTTTAGTTAGATATGTAGATGTACCCCCGTGGAGGTGCCTTGTCCTCTCCCCACCATGTGCAGCCCCCCAGACCCTGCAAGGCAGCATCTTTCTCTGGCTTAGGACAGGCTTTAATCAGTCTGAATATACAACACTTCTGCAGCCCTGGGGCTGCTCAGGGATGAAAACTCTAGGAATCCCCAGGAGTTGCCATTATTTTCTGGGACAGCATTTCAACATGTTTTAAATTACCTAAAACTCTCAGCAGCATGAACTGTATCCCAACAGCAAACGATTTGTCTTCAGGCTGGATGCTCCTGAAAAACAAAGCAGAGCATGTGCCCTCTGGCAATCCCATAAAAATGGATGTTTCACCTCACACAAAAAGCTGTCCTTAAACCCAACTACCCAGGCAGGATCCCAGGCAGTTCCCATTTATATCAGCAATGATGATGAAGGTTTCTTAGGGCTACAGGCTGACCATGGCGTTTTCTTGGCCTGAAAATCCTACCAGACTCCGTAAGAGATGTGCAGGAGCTCAGCCAAGTATTTTTGCTTTTAATTTAAAGATTAAAGCACAAGCAACACAAGGGATGATTTTGGCAACTGGACAAGTGATTTACAAGTTGAGGAAGTGGCTTTTTCTGAGTTTTTTTCTGAAGAAGAGCCTTTTTCTGAAGGCCCAGTGCCTATTTTGCTGGTACCCAGTTTTCTGAAATCAGTATTTCAGGCTGTGGTTCCTGCTGGAGTCACACATGGGAGAGGACTAGGCAGCAGAGGATCTCCAGGTCAGCATGCCTCAGAGGACTCAGCTTCCCTTTCCTCTCTGACTGCCTGGAGAACACACAGCTCTGGGAGTCAAGGTAGAAACAGGCTTTTAATCATAGCTTTTCTCTACAAAACAACTGCTTGGAGTGTTTTGACCACAGAAATATGCTTGGAAATATCACTTATAGACTGAGATCCCTCCATAGCTTCCCCCCTCCCCTAGCATGCTCCCAGCTTCAGCTGTCCTGGGGTCCAGCCTCAACAGCCTGGGACTCATGTTGAGGCTGTCTCCAGCCTGCTGCTGCCTGCCCTATAGACACCTTTCTGAGAGTGTGGGAAACTGGAGTCCTAATTGCTTCTCTGCACTGGGAAGGGAGGCTCTATTCAAGCAAATGAAGGTAATTAAAATCCTTAACTTAATACAGAGCTGCATTAAAAAGAGCCAAAGCACTGCTGTGCTAAATAAACACTGAGTTAATGGTGCGTCTTGTTACTGAGGTGTCAGCTGTGACTAGAGAGAAGCAACAGGATGGCTGCTGGCTCTGAAGGTTGTGCTTAGACCAGGAATGGGAGTGCTGAGGGGAATGTAGGGTTCCTGTGAGCCACATGGCCCTGTCAGTGGGTGCAGATGCCATGGGGACCTGGCATGGTGTGACACCCACCAGCTACTGCTTGCCTGAGGCTGGTGATCACCACATTGCCTGCAAGAGCAATGGACCACTGGCTCTGTGGCAAAGCCTCCAGCAGCCTGAAGTTTCCACTTGCTGCTTAATTCTGCAGGAATCAGAAGCAACAGCCAAAGAGACCTTGGAAGAGTCTTTGTAGTGTCACAGAGCAGGAGCTCTGTTAGAGCAAGAGCAAGTCCTGAAGCTCTCAACACTTGAGACTGGAGATGCTCTATGTTTCTGTCCTGCCCAGCCATGCCAGGGCTGGACAGCAAAGCACAGCCTGCTCCAGAGCCCCACATCATCTAGAAGGTGGACATCTACCTGCACTGCCAGATGACAGGAGCAGGGAAGAACCATTCCCTGCACCAACACATGCAAGATCCACATAAAAGTAATGGGAGGAACTGGGCATGAGGTGCAATATAGGGCTGATTTAAACCTTCAGTCTCTCAGCTGGACAAAACCCTTCCTCCTCAATCCAAGAAGCCTCAGACATCACCTCTGGAGTGAACATGGCCAACCCAGTCTGCTCACCTGAGGATGAGCATGAAGGACGGTGTGTGGGATGTGCTGGCAAGGATCCCAGCCAGACAGGACAGGATCACAAAGGGCAGGAAGAGGTGGGAGCAGCCAGTGCTGCAGGTCCCAGGCTTGGCAAATCCATTTTCAGAGATGCAGCTGCAGTTGGTATAGCTCTGCAAAGAGGAGAGAAAACCCAAAGGCTGCTCATCTGCTCAGGACTGTGAAGATAGAAGGGAAAGCTGCCAGCTGTGAGGGAGGGTGTTTAGGATTTGTCTGTGAATAATTAGTGGTAATTAGCACTCAACACTTCAGGGAGCATGGAGGGGAAAAAGAAACATACAGTGAAGCTGGCTGGGGATACCAGCCTGAGTGGATGAGGAAGCACATGTATAACGTGTTTGGGACTGGCAGGCAGTAGGCAACGAGTGCCAGAGGTCCCTGCACTGGCAAAGAGATGTTGAAAATGGTAAGAAAAGTGTTAAATTTCCCAGAAAGCAGTGGCTGGAAAAATGCCAGAAATGCAGTAATCTCTTTTTTCCTTTCCTGCAACAGGTAACACCCAAAACTGGAGAGGGACTGAGATTGCTCTGTGGAAGCCTGAGCTCAGCTCCTAGTCCAACACCTTCAGTCACATCACTGTGTGCCACAAAGACCCATCCCAAGGAGATCCAACGTGCTCCAACTGCTACGTGCTGGCACACGGCTTGGAATTTCTAACATGCCGAGGTACAGTCCCTGTGCACAAGAAGCTCTCACACAGCTTAAATCAGGTCAAGATGCACCAATAGGGGGAAAGAGGAGTCAGCAAATTGTCCGAGTGCTAAAGGAAGTGCTGATGTGGTTCTGACGGTGTGGCACTATCAAGGGAGCCCTGATTTTGCTGTAGTGTGTGGCTACACATAATTATAGGTATAATGGATGCAGGAGTGGGATATCTTCAGGAACACAGGATGTCAAAGTGCTGGAGGCATCTTTGAGGAGGAAAAAAGCAGTTAAAAAGGATCTGCTGCACAAGGCAGGCAGGGGGATGCAGAAAAGCACATTTGGGACTAAGCTCTGGGAGAAGACATAATTGTTATTAAAACAAAGTGCTGTTAATTAACAAAATGCTGCTGAAGACAGCCCAGACAGTCCCATGCTGCCATTATAACTTGTGCCAAGTGCACAGTGGAAAACTACTCATCCTGTGCGGATTGCTAAGGATTTTCAGATAGGTATTTGAATTGGCAAAGACTTCCTTACTGTTTATCTGTTGAGATGTACTGTCTGGAGACCCGACAGACAGACCATCAGCACTGGAAAACTCAGTACTCTCGGGGTTTAGATAACAGGCAGGGAGCAGCAGAGGAGAGAGAACCACGGGGCAGCAAAATAACCCTGCCAGGTCTGCAAGTCAAGGGAAAGCCAAGAGCAAACCCCATTTTTCCAGCCCTTGCATCAAGACTAAATTACCCTCTCATGCATACACTTGGCTTGACACACACTGCAACTAGATCTGACTTTTTAACCTGCAAATCTGGAAGCTGAAAGGTGGAATAACATCCCTCTAACAAGGCCCTCCCAGAGCATTCACCAAAGATCTGCTTACATGTCAGTGCTTGGAGCAACCTGGGCTAGTGGAAGGTGTTCTTGCCCATGGCAGTGGGTTCGAATGAGATGATCTTTAGAGTCCCTTCTAATCCAAACCATTCTGGGATTTATGTACTGGGGCAATGGCTCCTCCATACTTGGCTTGCTCAGAGCATGCAGAGTTGCTCCCTCAGCCCCCAAAAGCAAGATTTACCTCCTCTATCTTCATTTACAGCTGTAACAAGTCATATGATGGAGCTTTCTGCTGCTGTAGGTGTCAGTTGAATGTTTCAGCCAGTATTTCCCCCAACTCTGCAGGACAGCAATTTGGACCAAGTGCAGTTTTTGCATTTTGCTTCATAAAAACGTAAAATTTGTCATTCTAGGCTCTGAGCACTATTTTAGGTAAAGTCAAAGCAAATCCTCTTGGGTGAGCAGTTGGGGTGATACCTGCTGCAAGACACTGAGGTATGTGAAAATGTGTACCACATGTATATTGATATTTTTCCCTCATAACCCCTGTAAAATGGAAACACACAGACTCCATCCAGTTTCAGAGAACTTCTGGCATACCTAAAAGGTTTCTGCTTGCTGTCTTGGTCAGCCTTCCCCTGCTCATCCCACATGCATCATGCAGAGCTTGTCCAACACTAACAAGCATCAAAAAACCTAATTGCTGGTCTCGAGCAGTCAGCCCTCATCAGCCATCCCAGTGCATCTCAGCCATCATCAGTGCAGTGGGAATGACTCACCAAGACTGACTTGTTGTCCTCATGGATATTCACGACCTTGCAGCCAGCGGAACAGGGTGAGATGTACTCGATGGCGTTGGAGCCGCAGATGGGGTTATAGGCCTTCTCCAGGCACTTACACTCCAAGTTACACTCCAGGTCATGGGGACCAAATCCAAAGCTGCAGCAGAAAGAAAATATTAATGCAAGGTATTGAACAGCATTAATAAGCATCTTATACAGCAAATATACTCCATGTATAGTGAGATTGGCAAAAAAACACCTGATGGCTCCACAAAACCTGCTCCATATGTGAGGGCATATGGAAATTCCACTATAACCTCCCAAGCTTTTCCTCAGCTTGGGCAAAGCATCCTGACCACAAATGATCAAGAGAGTCACCCACTTCCTTCATATTTGGTCCCAAATATGGGATTTTGGGGTACTTGCAACACTACACTGTGGGAGGTGACAAAAAAACACCTGATGGCTCCACAAAACCTGCTCCATATGTGAGGGCATATGGAAATTCCACTATAACCTCCCAAGCTTTTCCTCAGCTTGGGCAAAGCATCCTGACCACAAATGATCAAGAGAGTCACCCACTTCCTTCATATTTGGTCCCAAATATGGGATTTTGGGGTACTTGCAACACTACACTGTGGGAGGTGAGGTGAAACTGAGCATGTGAATTTAGAGAAACTTGGATCAAGCTTTGAGGGAAGACAAGAAAGTCCTGCCCATGTTAAGCTCTGTAGGCAAGCAGCCCCAGCTTTGAAGGTGCCATCCCAAGGCTGGCCCCTGCCCAAATTATTCACTGGTGCATAACACACTTCACTTTCCAAGGTGAAATTTAAATATTGTGCTCTCTGGGCCAAAAAATGTATTTACTTTGGGTTCCACGCTACGTTTGCTCACTACACTCAGTAGGAAATCTCACTCATGGAACTCATATAACCCTGCTCCTAGAAATCTTGATGTTAAAAAGGTGTTAGCTCTAAGGGGATAAAGCTCAAATGATCCCATGAGAGGGATAAATTACAAAGGGTATCTATATATATTCTGCCCTAAACTTGAGGATGCAGAGGATTCAGTATTTATCCACAATAACTTGTAGCCTTATTTAATCTCCATTAACTGTTTCTCATGAGGGAATAAACCCATTGCTGAGTATTCTGCTCAACTTTCACCTCCACACAAAGGACTGTGCCTGGAGATAGAGTGTGCCCACAGCCCCAGGAATGATCCACCCGTGCCTAGCCTGGCTGGAGCTGTTGGTACCTGTCACTGTAGGTAACACCTGCGACCTTCTGTGTGGGGCAGCCAAGGAAGAGGAGGGGAAAAGCCACAAGTAGGCAGAGGAACAGGCCGAGGACACACATGGCACTGCATTGCCTCAAGGACATCTGGAACCGCTTCAGGATGGCTCCACCCACGACGATCCCGACCATGGCCCCAGGGATGTTCACAGCACCTGGGGAAAGGCAGGTCATAGAATCACAAAGTTGCAGAATGGTTTTGGTGGGCAGGAACACCAAAGCTTCTCCAGTTCTACCCTGTGCCATTGACAGGGACACCTTCCACCAGCCCAGGTTGCTCCAAGCCCCATCCAATCTGGCCTGGAACACTTCCAGGGATGGGGCAGCCACAGCTTCTCTGGGCAACCTGTGCCAGTGCCTCACCACCCTCACAGGGAAGCATTTCTTCCTAATATCTAATCTAAAGCCATTCCCCCTTGTCCTATCACCATACCTTGTTTCTCATCCTCTGAGCTCTATCAGCCCCTTCATATAGCAAAGTCCCAGATGATCTGCTGTTGGGTTCCTATTTTTCAGCACAGGTGATCCAGAAGGGGCCAAAGTTTTTGCAGGGACTGGTGGAATAATGCTACAAAAAAGCTGCTTTTCAAACCCAGCAGGATTCCACAGCAAATTGTATCTATGGATGGAGGATGTAGGGAGCAGAGGAAAGCTATACTTCGCCTGCAAATATGACTTTCAAGTGCAGACAGGAGGAAGCACCATGTAAACCTGGAGATGATGTTTAATTTATGCACAATGCAGCATGGTACCCGATTCTGTGGTCACCCTTACAAAACTGTGAAGGTTTCCACAACAGAATTGGTGTTCTTCAAACCTCACTTTTATAATGGGAGACCAAAGTTCAGCTACAGAAGTGCAGACTGTTTAATTCAGAAAAAAATCAACAGGAAGGCTGCTTTCAGCCCATAAATATCCACGCAAGGGAGGAATTTCCAACTACAGAAAGTTTTTTGAGCTAACAGAAAAAGGCAAAGCAAGATTCAGTAGTGGGAACAAAAGACGGATAAATTAATGAAATACAGTCCATGACTTGAATAGGGCAGTCAAATCAAGCCTGGGAACAGCTTAGCTGGGCACATTGGTGGAGGTCACCACTGCTTTAGCATTTAACCCTTCTGCCTGTATTTATGTTCAAAAATGTATTTTAAATACTTCTGTGGCAAGATCTCTGAACTCTCCAACTGATTCTAAGAGTAGGGCTTTATTCCTCACATCTTTAGTACCATGAGAAGGTCACAGGGAGACCTTGGACAGGACATTCTGAATATTCTAATACAAGCAAAAGTAGTCTAATCCCATGACCACATATCCTGCTTAAGGCTTCTTTTTTTCCTTCATTACAACAGTAACAGCAAGCAAGCAGACCACCCCTTACCAGCAATTGTTCTGACTATAGAATCACAGAATCATTTAGGCTGGGAAGGATAAGGCTGGCAAAGATCTCCCAGATCATCAAGTTCAACCTTTGACTGAATACTCATAGACTCATAGAATTGATGAAGCTGGAAAATAAGATCATCAAGTCCGACTGCTAACTCAACACTGACAACCAATCTCACCACTAAACCATGTCCCCAGCATGATGAACACTTCCAGGGATGGCCACTCCACCACTTTCCTGTTCCACTGTCTGACCACTATTTCAGTGAAGAAATTTTTCCTAGTATCCAACCTAAGCCTTTCCTGGTGTAACTTATGGCCATTTCCTCTTGTTCTGTTTCGAAGGGTTCAGGTGCAAGCCTCACTGGCCTCTTGTTGCCAAGTGCCTTCAAAACACTTCAAAACACTGCATATATTTCTGCAGTATCTCATTTTATTTACTAACTACTTCTTCAAAGATCTTTAACCCAATGATCAATGTGAAGTAATCCCTGCTACAGAAACATTCATATCTGGATGCACAATTCATATCTGATATTTCTCTGCTCCCCTGATGCAATGAACTGGTTTCCTCTCCTTGATTACAGCAAACAGCTTTAGATAACACACATTTCTCCAGGTCTTAAAATATCCTAGCAAGCTCAGGCTGCAATGGAAAGGAAGAAAAGTAGATAGTAGTTGAGCAACTGAACGGGCAAGGACCCTGTGCCATGTCTGTCTGTGGGTAATGGAAGGAGACTGGCAGCTCCAGAGGAAGTCTTTGTAATTTCTAGATCATTTTTTAAGGAGTGATCAAAAACCTTGACAGTAACACTTACCAATGATCATGTTGGCCAAGGATGCTGTGAGAGAGAACTGTCTTTCCAGGAACTTCCCCATGAATGTTGCTAAACCAGCAACCATGGCAGAGATGTTGACCTGAGCCAAGACCACCAGCAGGTAGACAGGATGACGCAGGTTCCTCAGCAGGACCAGAGGAAAACCTGAAAGGAGAAGGGGAAACCTGTTACATAGACAGGAGACATACAGCAAAATATTAATCATGGAATCTTAGGAAGGTCTGGGTTGGGAGGGGCCTTGAAGATCATCTCATTCCAACCCTCTGCCATGAGCAGGGACACATTCCACTAGACCAGAGTGGCGCAAGCTCAGTTCAACCTGGCCTTGAACACTTTCAGGGATGGGGCATCCACAGCTTCTCTGGGCAACCTGTACCAGTGCCTCACCACCTTCACAGGGAACTATTCCTTCCCAATATCTAACCTAACCCTGCCCTCTGTCAGTTTGAAGCCATGCACAGAAAGTGGAAAAACCTTGAATTTTCCTACACTTTCTTTTGTGCAGAATTAACTCTAGGAATGTTGAGCTCTTCTGAATGTTTTCTATACTGAAGGGCAGAATGTGTACTCTCAGGGTTTGTCAATTCAGGGCTTGACTGTGTGACCATTTGGGTATTAAAAAGTCAGGATGGAACATCAGGACATTGCAAAAAATTAAACACCTGAAAATTGAAAAACAGGTTGAGAGTTGAAAGCTGACAATCATCCCACCTGCCTCAGGAACCAGCCATAGGATGGGTGAGTCAATGGCAGAAGTTAGTTGTGGCAAAAGATGAATAAAAAAAAACCCAATGGGCTTTTCACTGCAAAGCATGTCCTGCCTCAAAGCGTACATTAGAAGAGAGCAGCTCCTCTTTGGACATACTTCATCCCAGCAGAGCTCAACTCTGTTTATCCTTTGGATTTGCTGCTATGGTCTGTCACACTAAACTCCTTCTGAAGCCTGTGCATTTCAGACTAGGAACTGCTCTGAAAACATGCACACACAGGCAGTGTGTAAAGGGTCTGTGCCAGTACAGTGGGAAACTTGGACAGGTGACGATGAGTAGAACAGAGGAGAAGAGAAGAGAAGAGAAGAGAAGAGAAGAGAAGAGAAGAGAAGAGAAGAGAAGAGAAGAGAAGAGAAGAGAAGAGAAGAGAAGAGAAGAGAAGAGAAGAGAAGAGAAGAGAAGAGAAGAGAAGAGAAGAGAAGAGAAGAGAAGAGAAGAGATTTCAATTGGAAAGTACCTACAGTGATCATCTAACCCAATTGTGTGACCACTTCAAGGCTAACCAAAAGTTAAAGCATTTTTTTTATGGCATTGTCCAAATTCCCCTTAAACACTTGGGGCTTGGATGATTGAACCACATCCCAAGGAAATCTGTTTCAGTGTTTGACCACTCTCTTGGTAAAGAAATGCTTCCTAAGTAAACCAATTGGAAAGTACCTACAGTGATCATCTAACCCAATTGTGTGACCACTTCAAGGCTAACCAAAAGTTAAAGCATTTTTTTTATGGCATTGTCCAAATTCCCCTTAAACACTTGGGGCTTGGATGATTGAACCACATCCCAAGGAAATCTGTTTCAGTGTTTGACCACTCTCTTGGTAAAGAAATGCTTCCTAAGTAAACTCTGAATGAAGCATCTTGACCCAAGAAAATTGGTATCTCACATCAGCACTTGAGGCATGTGCTCAAGTGATCCCAAACATCTGCTAATGCAGAGGACAAACTGGCCTCTTTCTGCAGGGATACTTCCTGCTAAGATCTTTAGCAGAGCTGCCAGAGCCTGATGATGTCTTAGGAGAAACACAAATGAGAATTTTTCAGCCTCAACTGAACCTCTGTAAATACTGTCTATATCACAGAATCATATACTCATGGAATCATTAAGTTTGGAAAAGCCCTCTAAGATCATCAAGTCCAACCATTCCCCCATCACTGCCAAGGCCACCACTAACCACTTCCCCAAGTACCACATCCATGTGTATCTCCTGATGAATGTATGGGGCTGTACTGGGAAGGCTGAGAGCAGCATGGAAAGCTGCAGGTCTTTGCCCCACCACCCCCAGTCTGAGAGCTGCAGTTCTGAGTGATTGCAGGGGTTGTTACAAACACACACGGAATGAGTAAACATGGTCTTAGTTCCTTCCCCTGAAGCTTTCTGGCAGGGCTTCTGCCAAGACAAATACAAAGATGGGAGGTCATTAAAAGTTAATTTATTTGTTTGCAGCAGTTGCAATTTCCATGTCCTTTTTGTTTCAATCATAAAATATGTAATTCTTTTATTACAGGCAAGAAACACTCCAGCAAATTCTCCTGTGGCTGAACCCTTGAGAAAGAGATATATTCAGCCTGCTCAGCAAAGACAGCTGTCATGCTCCCAGCACTGAGGGAATCAGGGTGCCCAATGCTGACACCCACCAGCTGGGAGGCTGCAGCTGTCCATCCTGGTGCAATTTCTCCTTCACGCACATCCCAAACTCACTTTCTCTCATGCTGTTGCTCTCACTGAACCATCACCTTCCCCCATGCTCTCTGTCTGGCTTTACAGCACACAAGCAACTTCCAGACATCAGATGATAAGTTTCCCAGATGAGGGCTTGGAAAGCCAATATGCTGAAGCAGAGATAAGGAATTAACAGGAAGGATTAATGCAAGGGCTTGCCATAAATTAATGGTGTTCAATCTTAGCAGCTCACAAACAATTGGGACAATCTTTCTGTCTGCTCCAGCACAGCGGCGCTGGGGAATTGCAGTGGGGAGAACTCTCTGGTGCTTGCCTGGGAGTTGCCCCAAGCTCTGTATTTATTTCAGCTGTTGCATTATGTGAAGAGCAAAAGGACCCTCTGTGGATGTGATGTGGTCCTCCATATCCAAAGGCAAAGCTCTCATTCCTGAGAGTATTGCCTCTCCAGCTCTCAGGGTCAGGCAAGTAGCCAAATATGTTGGGGAGCAACAAAAGTGAGGCACTACAGAAGGTCCAAGCATGCAAGACATGGTCAAGGACCCTGAAATACTGACCCACTGGAGAGCTGAGAGGGCAGCAGTCAGCTGGAGAGGGAACGAGCTATGTTAGACTAGGGTGAACATAAAAGGTAGGTGCTTTGGCTCCTAAATATCACTAAAGGTCCTGATTTCTGAAGCACATTCCTGCCTACTCTACATACTGGAATATCTCAGCCATATTGCAAATATGAAACCTCAACTTGTTTGCTGAAAGATCTGAGAGCTAACCCAGATTTTGTGGAAGTCAGTGGGAATCTTCCATCAAAAATCTCTTTTCCCTAGAGTTCTTTGGTCTTTTTGATCAAACTGCACCCTCTCTGCACCCCAGATCAGAGCTAAAAAGCTGTGACACTGAGCAGGTCCCCCAGTTTAAGGTCAGAAGCAGCAGATTTCTGTCCTCTGCAATCAGCATCTCATTACTAATTCAATCTTCCTCACAGCTCCAGAGAGGAAGCTGAGCAGAAACCAAAAGCAAGTGGAAACTTTAAAACAATAAATTAAAATATCCTTGAAATTGCCTTTAGGGACCATAAGAGAAACAAACAAGTCACAAGCCCAGTGTTCCAATTCCTTTGAAGATCACCTTTAATGGATTAATTCCCAGTATGTGCAACAGAATCTGAATATCCTCCCAAGTGTTTTCAACAGAAGCCTAGAAATTAACAATGGAAATTACTTTGGGCTAGCTAAATCCTACTTTTTTGATTACTGTGAGCAGAACCAATGCTTACAAAAGGAGCACTTGGTGAGTACAAGGAGCAGGGTGCAACCCAAAGTTGCAAAGAGCATTTGTACAAGAGCCAAGATCATTCCCCACAGTGCTTTGACTTTCCTAGTTTTAAATGACTCCAGCCAGCAGAGCCTACTCCCTTCTGGGGTAATTGACCTCATTGTGTGGAAATGTCCCCAGTGCTTTGCCTGAATATTTATTCTGAACACAGCTCCATCCTGTTATTGCTGATTGTGGATGGAAAAGCTTTTCCTGTCCTTAAAGCAGAATTCCCAGGGCTTTGCAAACTGCTCCCTGCTCATCACACCTTGCCCCAGAAAGATTCAAAGCCCATAGAAATGGGCACTTTGAAGATCCTCTTGAGATGGGCTCTAACTCATCCTTGTTTTGCTGCAAAAAAATGGCAAGAACTCCCATAAGCCTTATTTTGATCTCTGGTTATCCCCAAGTGCACTGAAGCAGCAGAACACATGGCAAAATGCATTTCCTTCTCCATAATCAGGCTTCATTCTCATAGAATCACAGAATGGTCTGGGTTGGAAGGGACCTTAAAGCTCATCCAGTTTCACCCCCTGCCATGAGCAGGGACATCTTCCACTAGACCAGGTTGCTCCAAGCCCAGTCCAGCGTGGCCTTGAACACTTTCAGGGATGAGGCAGCCACAGCTTCTCTGGGCAACCTGTGCCAGTGCCTCATCATCCTCACAGGGAAAATTTTCTTTCTAATATTCAATCTAACCCTGCATCTGTCAATTTGAAGCCATTCCCCCTTGTCCTGTCACTCCAGGGCCTTGTGTCTTTCCATCTTTCTTGTAAGCTCCCTTCAGGTACTGGAAGGCAGCAATTATGTCACACATTCTCTTTTCCAGGCTGAACAATCCCAATTCTCTCAACCTTTCCAAATAACAAAGCTCAGCCCTAATCTCCAGGGCCACTTTACCACCTACCTGAGGTATGCAAACACCTTGAGTGTGTGCAAACACCTCAACCAGATGCAGGACTCTGTCTTATGAGGGATGCAGGAGGAACAGGACAGAAATATCCCACGGAAAGATGCGATATCCCTGTGTGGTCCCTCTTTGATCCAGTCCCTGCTGGTATCCTAACACTTTCCTTCATCCCACCCTCAATAGGGGACCCATAGCCATCAGAGACCTTCATCCCACCCCAGAGAGGGGACATGGTACTGTCCTACAGCATTCCTCCATCATGAGTGTTTCATTCTGTCTTGGCTTTTAAACAACCGAAGGTATAGAATTTCAAGGTGATTCAGGCTGGAACATCTCCAAATGCTATTTTCAGTAGTGGTGTATAGAAAATAACAGTAAAGCTAGAGACAGAGAGAAGAAATAAGCAGGAGAGTGACAAAACGGGAAGTAAATCTCTCTTTTTAGTGACTTGCTGATGAGCTAGCACTGAAGTCTTCAGGCTTCACCCAAATCGTCCTCATCTAACCATCACACACTACCTGCCATCCAGTTTCTGGTTCTAAATAGAGTTTTGTAATAGAGACCCTAGTGATTTCAGCAAGACAAAAAAACACAGACACTTCATTTTTTTTCAGAACTGGGCTTTAGGGGCTAAATTCTCAGAAATAATGAATTTATTAGCACAGCCCTGACAACAGCAACCTCAATGCAAGCCCTGAGCTAAACCTGCAGCTCAGGCAGAGGGAAGTTATTTTCTTCTCTCTCCACACAGGAGCAGGGAGCTCATTTTTATTCATTTTTCAGAGGCAAAGAGCAGTGTCAGTGTGAAAATCCCACCTGAGTGCTATAAATCTCTTCCCAAGGAATCACTTCCATCATCACATGGGTTTTCTAAATGACAGTGCCACAAGGTCAGGAGGGGAATAAACCCCTGACTGACTTCACTAATTGAGCATTAGGTTAGCAAGCAAACAATGCAACCAGTAGAATAAAAACCTGTCCATGCTCCTCTGACTGTGCCTGCACTGCACAGACCTTCATAACACAGAGAATTTCCAATAAATTAAAGGGATAATATTCAGGAAATACAGAGGAAGCTGACATGGATTGACTTCAGAAGGCCACTTTTTGTAAGTAATTGCCAGAGCATTTCCTTCAAAAAATAAAACCCCAACCCTTAGTGGTTGCCTCCACAGACTAAGGCTCAGCTGATCTCTTTCAGCACAAAGAGAACACTCACTCCTAAACAAGATAATTGCATGGGATTCAAATCTGCCTTCTGATTTTAACTGCTCAGGCCATCCTTGGTGGGACAGGGAGGTCAGCCTGGCTCAGATATTGTCACCAGCATTCAGACAAGGGATCTGAAGAGGTCTTTTGCAGATGAAAAGTTGCCACTGCTGTGGGTCTGATTCCTGCTATGGCCTGAGACCTGAGCAACAGCAGCTGGATGCACCCAAGATGCAAAATGCCTCTGTCTGGGGGGGAGTCTCTTCCTTCCCATGGCTCTCCTCCAGATTCAAGGTTTGCACCCCTCTTTCCTGCCTGGCTTTGGCTTTGATGAGATTTTTGGGCTCTGTATCCTACTACCCACCTGAGCCATAAATCACAGAATCACAGACTGGTTTGGGTTGAAAGAGACCTTAAAGATCATCCAGTTCCACACCCTGCCATGGGCAGGGACAACTTTCAGTAGACCAGGTTGCTCCAAGCCCTATCCAACCTGGCCTTAGGCACTTCCAGGGAAGCCACATAACACTCAGAGCTACCACCCCAGATGCTTTGGTCAGCATAAGGTGGAGGGGAGTAGTCTGGACATGATGGCATGGATCTGCTGTTAGCAGACAAGGTACACATTGAGTTAAACCCAACACTACACCTAAGGTGCATCTGGAGGGTTTATCTAGGAGGTGGGCTGAGCACAGGGAGGAACATCCCATTTTCCTACCAGCATCGGAACCCACTGCATTGCCAATTGCTTGGATGTGTGTTAGTGCAAGCAGAGGATCCTGTCCATGTGGGAGGTGGGGGATGCACACACTTACGTTTGATGAACTCAGTCAGAGAGAGGTTTTGCATGTGTTCAGATCTCGACCTGAGCTGGCTGAGCATGTCCTCACTCTTCTTGCTGTCACTCTCCTTCCCACTCACCACCTGGGGACAGACAAGAGGCTGTCACTGCTCTCATGGTGTCAAGGTTTTCCCTGAATTTGGTTTTTCACTCCCAAATCATGACAGATGGCAGACCATAATTCTTGCAGGTGGGGTTTGTAATGTTTTTGGGCTTGGTCATCATTGTCCATGTCCAGCTGCTGCTCTGTGCACACTCTGCTGGGTTTCCAATGGGGCTGAGGGCATCCAGACATATATCCAAGTTACACGATCATGAGCTGGATTCCTACCTTTCTTGACAGTAATGAATTACACTTTATCAATAGCAAGCTCTGCCATTACCCACGTGCAGCACACCATGTGCTCAGCTCACACAAATATGGAAACACAGGAGGTGTAAGGATTTGCAGTGGGAAAGATGGATACCCTTAGGGAGATGTTTTTCTTCCCCAGAGGTTCTGTTTTATCTCCATGTGGGTGGGGAACAGGCACAGGAATCCAAGGAGAGATGCACCTGGACCTCCATCCAACACAGGTTTGGACACTGGTTGTGGATGGAGGATGAACAGTTCCCCTGTTGTCTCTGTGTGTACCATAACAAGCTGCTGTGCTTGTTACAGCAAGGAAAGAGGCAGCAATTGTAAGAGAGAAAAAAACCCAACAAGGAGGAAATGGAGGCAAAATATTTTTCACCTCCTAAGCCTAGAGGCTACCCAGGGCAGCAGTGGAGTCCCATCCCTGGAGGGATTTAACAGCCCTGTGGATGTGGCACTTGGGGACATGGTTAGTGGTGGCCTTGGCAGCGCTGGGGGGAATGGCTGGACTCACTGATCTCTGAGGGCTTTTCCAAACTAAGCAATTCTGTTATTCTATGGTTCTGTGACCCAGAACCACCCAGGAGCAGGGATGTGCCTTGCATTGCTCTTTATGCTCACACCACTTCTCCCCCCCTCTTAATTCTTCTTCTGCTCCTGGAAACTCCAGTTGAATTCTAGCAATTCCTACTCCTTTAATGCTTTCAATGTCTTTTAACCACATAGGGTCATGTTGCCATCAATAGGATCATAGAATGGTTTGGGATGGGATGGACTTTCAAGGTCATCCAGTCCGACCTCCTGCCATGGACAGGGACACCTTCCACTTAGCCCAGGTTGCTCCAAGCCCCATCCAACCTGGCCGGGAACATTCCCAGGGATGTGGCAGCCACAGCTTCTCTGGGCAACTTGTGCCAGTGCCTCACCACCCATGGAGGGCTTGGAGCATTGCAGCCTCACTAGATGCCCAATGCAAGTGTCCAACATCCCACAGTACCGTTCCCCCATCAGCAAGCGGGAAGCCAAGGGAGCAGAGGATTTCTTGGATGTGCTTTGTATCCTCTGCTCCTCAGGCTTTTAGGGGAATCACTGGAAAAAGGGCATTAATTAGATTAGATCTGCTACTGTGGATGGATAATAGCAGCAAGTGATCAGCAGGAGTGTGGTTTCCATGGAAAACCACAGAGTATTTATAGCCAGGGTGAACAGCCCCAGCTCTGACAACCCCCACGAGCTCAGTAATGAGACTGCTGCAACTCTCGGCACAAATTCGAGTCAGACAAATGAGTTCATTCAACAGAAATATGTTGTTACTTCACAGAAAGAAGTGGACAGCTTCTTTGGCCAAAATGATATCTTTTGCTCTGAAACTGAGACTGGTTATTAAACATCAGAGAGGTCAAAATGTCCATGCTGTGTTTGCCACATTCCCTTTTTGAAGGCAAAAGAGATAAAACTCCTTTCCTGTTTTTTATTGCTGGAGTTCAGAGTTTAATACATTTTCCAAATGCAAAGATAAAATCAGGCTCCCTTTCACTATTCAATTAGGTTGCAGGATCTCTTCTCTCTGCTCTGGAACTGCAGCCTTTTCCAAAAATACATTCAAGCTGTTACTGTGGCTTTCTCAGCTTCCAGCTGTTTGTACTTCAGAGAGTCAACAACCTGCACATCCAGAAAAAGCCCCAAACCCCCACAAGTTCTCCAGTTTGGGATGTCTCTGTGAGCCTGACCCTTGCAAGTGGGATTTTTCTGTGCTGGCTCAGCACCTACGCCAGAAGCAGCTGCTGCCTGCACATGGAGTGAAGCCCTCAAGGAGGAGGAAGACTCCTCTTCCCATGCTGGCTTGGCCCCTGATATACTTTTTTGCTGCCTGAAAGGATCAGGAAATTAATTCCTCTGGGATGAAGGAAAACAGGCTGTGGAGGGACCAGCAGGAAACGTGCCTGCTTGCTGCAGGCAGGAGGGGAGGCAAACAATGCTGGAATGATGCTGGCTGTACCATCAGAGATGCTCCAGCCCTGACAAAGATATGGCTCCCCCCCCCGGGGGGTTTTGTTTTTAGTATTTCTCAGAGCAGTAATTTGTCAAGCCAGAGTTGGAAGGTGCCATACCACAGGCTGATTGCTCAGCCCTGCCCCAGCTGCACACCACAGCATCGTGCCAACAAAAAACAAACTAAGCTTGCAAAATGCCCCCACACTTGGATTTTTCAGGATGATTCCTTAAAGGACTCAGTTTTCTGATGCAACTCATTGCATCTCATGTTTTTCCAATAAGACTTTATCTGTCTGGAAGATTTTGCCCAGAGAAACTGTGACTGCCACATCCCTGGAAGTGTTCCAGGCCAGGTTGGACAGGACTTGGAGCAACCTGGGCTAGTGGAAGGTGTCCCTGCCCATGGCAGGGGGTGGAATGAGATGAGGTTTAAGGTGCCTTCAACCCAAACAGTCCTGTCATTCTATGTCTATCAGTATCACTTCTACCCTTGTGGGGGATGAAGGAGGCAGACAGAATTTTGAGGAAGGAGGATGAAGCTTTGTATTAGGAAGAGCATCCCTAATCTGATCTTGACCTGGGGAAATCCCCCAGGTCACTGCACAGACATGAATCAATCAGGTATGACTGAGCAGGACCAGGCTTTGTAGGAAAGAAAAACAAAGGCAGCTTGCCTGCAAGCCAGACTCCTGCTCTCACCTGCCTGATACTGCACCTGTAAGAAGGGCAGCCAGAGGTGCCAGCATTGCAGTTTGATCCAAATGCACCACTGGAAACAGGGATAAATGACCTGCTCTGTGCCAGAGATCCTTCCTTTGTTTAATTTGAGGTGTCCGCAGAGTTTCCCTGTGACTATGCAGAATCCAGTGCTCCAGGCTCAGAGAAAAATAAGGTCAGAGAAGCTATTTTCACATTAAACAAACAAAATGTAAAACCTCACAGCTTGCAAAAGAGTTATTTTCCTCCTGACAAGGTCGTGCTCCTTACAAATACTTCATTATGCCTCTTCCAGCAAGTGTGGGTCCCACTAGGGACCCTATTTCCTAGAGTGTTAAAATAACCAGCCTAGGGGCACCTTGCTCCAGAGAAATTAGATGATTATTTTTAGCTGCTGTTTGTCCCTGTCTTTAAAGCTCCCTGGGGAAAATCCAAATGTAGAGACCAGCCCATTCCTGTAATGTGTCCTGCCACTTGGCCCCTCTTTGGTCCCCAGATGATGCCCTGTATTTCTAGGCTGCCTTTTTTGGTGCTTTGGGAGCTTTAATGAGGCACCACAGAGCATCACTGAACCATGAGCAAAGGTTTCCAGAAAAAGACATCCATTTCCAGTACCTAAAGGGGCCTACAGGAAGGCTAGAGAGGGACTTTTAGCAAGGGCATAGAGTGACAGGAAAAGGAGGAACGGCTTCCCACTGCCAGAGGGCAGGGTTAGATGGGATATTGGGAAGGAATTGTTCCCTGCGAGGGTGCTGTGGCACTGGCACAGGTTGCCCAGAGCCGCTGTGGTTGCTCCATCCCTGGAAGTGTTCCAGGCCAGGTTGGATGGGGCTTGAAGCAACCTGGGCTAGTGGAAGGTGTCCCTGCCCATGACAGGGGGGTGGGACTGGATGAGCTTTAAGGTCTCTTCCAACCCTAACCACTCTGTCAATCTCTGACTCTGTGATTCTGATTCTGTGTTTGCTTCTATGTGACTTTGGAGTATCACAGAGCGAAACATGAACCAGGAGGTATTTGTATGGACAAGACAGATCTTGCACACGAGAAATGCTGAGCAAGGGCAATGTTCCCTGCTCTTGTTTAAGGTGCTGCTGAGAGCACCTTTTCAATTCCTTTTCACAGAGCTGCAAGACAAAGACTCTGCTCAAGGAACAGCACAGGGAAAGCCTTTAGTAGGGAGAATACAACAGCCTGCGTGGTGATACAGTAACAGCAACAGGTGGCAAAGCATGAGCTAAAATTTAGACACACAGCAACTAGAAAGCACTTAAATGCTGTTTCTCCCCACAATTAAGGATAGAACTTCAAGAAATGGTTCAGGCTCCTGAACACAGGGTTAAACTGGAATTATTGGAAAAAACGGGTTTTGACTGAAAATTTTTCCAGTAGCAGGCTCATCCTCTCATGCCCTTCATGAGATCATGACAACTTCATAGCTTTGCTGTGATCTTCCCTCAAATAGGATTATTCAGGATACTTTGGTGCTAGAAACTTACTGACAAGTAGCAAAGCAGAGAACTAAAAATGTTTTGGGCTTGGAGTGACTGATTTATGAAAAAAGATCAAACGAACAACCTCACATTATCATGAATGTTAACACAAGTCATTCCAAGAACTCAAAGAAGGTATCAAAAAGATGTGAAGCTGAAATGCGGCTGTAGAATCAATAATCTACATCTGTCTTGGTTGATGGGAGGAAGCAAATAAGTCTCCAAAGAGACTGAGGGCTGGACTGCTATTCCATGTTTGCTGGATTATGCTCATTGAGGAGAATGGTCCTTGGTCTGGGGAAATCCTCAAGGGCTCAGATGAGTAGTACAGAGTGAGGCAGGAGAAGGAAAGGCAAACAAAGTCAGGATGAGAATCAGACAAGAGAAATCGTGCTTTTGACAGGAGAAGGACTGAGCTTCTTTGGTACTGTGATCCCATTTGGGAGGTGGACTCTGCAGCAGGGAACATACCTACATCTTAGTGTGGACATGTTAATCCTAGGCAGCCTCATCATCTGTATTGTCC